TGCTGCAGATTTATGTACCATGTGCTTTTTATTATTTCTCTTGAAACTTCTGGAAGATTGTAATGCAGCTTTTTGAGCATTAAAGGATGTTTGAAATCACCAGCAGTGCTGCTTTTTTCTGTCAAAATTATCTCCCATAACAGGCTCTGTAATCTACTGTCTAAGGCCTTCGTGAAGATCTGGAGAGATAGTACTGTCTGTTTGAAAGACCCAAAGATTTCCTGTTCAGACTACACAAACTTCTTTAGAGCTGCCAAGAGTCAGAATGTGCACAAGGTAATACATTTCAATTCAGGAGAAACTGTGGAGGGTAATTCAATTAACCCAGTGAGCTACAAAAGGGAAATTCCAGGTTAGAACCACCACTGCCCTTCAGAAGAGACTTGGTGAGCCCAGGGGCAGTCTTGACCCAGAGACAGTTGAAGCCCAGAATCTGCTGGGCAACATCACCCCTGACTGCAATGGAAGAGGCCTGGCTGCTGGGGAGTCCTACCTGGTGGCTCAGGAACTGACCCCTGAGGGACCTTTCTGCTCAAAGCCTCAGCAAGTGACCCCAACAATAAAACTTTCCATGGTATCTACAACATTCAAATAAATCAGCCTGTGCTGCATGAAGTGATTCCTCTTGAACACCAGCTATGGACATGGGGAAGCCCAAAGTGGGGTCTGCAGAGGACACAGTGACTCCCAGCAGAACCAGAGAGCAGCATACAGGGAGAGGGCCCCAACCATGTTGTGAGAACTGCCTGACTGAGGTATGAAGTGTGCAAGTTAAACATGCAGATCTTAGTATACAATAGTGGTCTGGAAAGCGCTTCAGATGTTAAAAATCCAAGCAGGAAAAGTTTCTGGAATATAGGCAAGGATAAATGGACTTAAAAGACAGGGAAAGTAGTCAAACTTGAGATTTCCAAGGGGAGACGCAATTGACTGGAAAGAAGTTATTCTCTTTTAGCCCAAAACCCAATGTTTAAAGTATGTGTAATTCCTCTTCATTTGTTCCATTTATTTCTCAAACTGTTTTCCCACAAGGGGCCAGGCCCTCTGCTCTTTGGGGTTACTGAGATGAAAGAGGTAGCTGCCCCGTGGAGACCTCACTGCATGTTCTGGGACAGAAGAGCAGTCTATGAAGCTCTGGGTGGTGCCCAGAACACACCCTAGTGGGGTAGTAAACCTGAACCCCACACCCCCAGCCAGTTTTCTCAAGATAAAATTGACATAAAACACTGTCTAGATCTAAAAGGTGCTCAGTGTTAGGCCAGGCAGTGCAGTGGCGCCAGAGGGCCCCCTGACCTTGTGGCCTGCTGATAGTGTCCAGGAGAAGGCAAATGTCATGACTAGACTGGACTCCACCCGCATTCCTGGTTGTGCAGGTGGGGCCTTGCCTGGGCCTTGGCTGTTCCAAGCTACACTCCTCCCTCTGCCTACTACTCTTGGTTATAAATTTCACGGGGAAACCAACCTCGTAGAACAAGGTTGATGTAACGAGTATATTTTTAAAAATTAAAAAATAGTTTCTCCCTGCACTCCTTGGCACTGTCCCTCTTCCTTAGAGTCCCGTCCAACAACTGACCCCAATACACCTCTCTTCTCTAAGACTGTTGGTGTGAGCTCCTCTCGGCAACACCTTATACACAGTGTCATGGTTTGCTACATGTATATACTGCAAAATGATTATCACAATCAGAGGATGTCTTGACGTTGAGGTTTTTCTGACAGTTCAGCATCACAATCATAAACTAATGGTAATGATAACTAACTTTAACCAGTAGTGTTTTTCATTTTTTTTAAGGTGATTGTTGTTGTTGAAGTAGCATTGGCTTGTAACATGCTACAGGTTTCAGATATACAGCATTATAAATCAGCATCTCTATCAATTAATTTCTGTCCTTCACCATGCAATTGACCCTTTTACTGAACTTAACCCCTCCCCTGCCTCCTTTTCTTCTGGCAGCCACTACTTTGTTCTTAGTGTCTGAGAGTTTTGTTTATTCCTTTGTTTTATGTCTTTATCTTCCACATATGAGTGAAATCATAGTGTTTGCCTTTCTCCATTTGACTTATTTTACTCAGCCTAATATCCTGGAACTCCATCCATATTGTTGCAAATGGCAGGATGTTATCTTCTTTGATATATCGTTGAATGGTGTTATTTTGTGTATATTTGTCAGATCATCTTTATTCAGTCACCTGTTGATGATGAGTACTTGGTGGTGTCCAACTCTTGGCCACTGAACAATGCTGCTATGAATACGGTGGTGTATATCTCTTTGAGTTAGTTGCTGCATTCAGTAAATTCATATATCTGTTAATCTCCCATTCTACAGAAAAAGAAACATCCAACTCTGTCATAATTTGGGCATAAATCGGACAAGTTAGGTTGTTTAGTTGTTGGGCAAGTCTCCCATGAGGATTTCCACGTAGGGCATTGCAAAGCAGTAATTCCACAGTGTTTGCAAGATCAAAATTAAGTTCTTTGGAAAGACCAGCCCAATATGCCCCTAATGTCTCCAGATTGCCACATCCTGGCTCAACTGCGTTCCACAGACAAACCCAGGTTGTGTCTTAACACTTACCTTTGCCCTTGACCCCAACTACCCCAACCATCCCCTTCAGAGTCTCTTCATCCCAAGGTCAGGATCCTTCCCAGGGAGTAATTTTCCCCTAGAAAATTACTGAACTTAGCTCGTCAGTACTTGCTAAGGCCCGTACCATGCGCTCACACTTCACCACCTCTTCCTTCATTGATCCCCTTCCAGAAACCTGTAGGCTGCCTGAGGCCAGGGGCTGTAACCAATGTATGTTTATAATGCCAGCATTTCAAAACCCCATATAAATACCCTGGAGTCCTCCCTCCATGCTTGTTACCCTTTGTTTGGTTTTTCACTTATCCTTTCCATCTAGAAGTTCTGTCTTTGACTAAGACAGACATGCCAATTGAGGGTGAAATGCCCATTTGCTGGGGTGGTACAGTTTTTTTCATTGTTTTCTTTGTAGCCAGCAACCTCTCGGCATTGGTATAAATCTGTGGTCCTTCTTCAAGGATGCCATTTGTTGCTTTTATGTCTTGATTCATCACATACTGTGGAGGGTGCTAGCTGAGTTGTGCTTTTTTGCTTCAAGAGAATGTTACCAAACACTGACACCATAAAGGGGAATGCACCAGATGTCTGTTTGCAAGAAAAGCTGAATCTACTTTGTGAAGAGCCAAGAGTGGCCAGGGCTCCCCAAGCATTTCTGGCCTGAGGTTTGGCTTCCCACATTCCCTTGGGGTCTCATAACTCACCCTCACATTCCATTTCAGTCATCATTCTGGAAAAAATTGTCAACTTTACTGCTGAATTCAGCCTGGAAACTGTTGTCCATTAGTTTTCTCCCTCTCGAGCTAAATATTGAAACTAACTTCCTGGTTAATTTTTACCAAATTAACACATGATTGTGTTCCATCTCATGATTAACTTAATTTTCCTCTTCCTGAGTTATCAAAATTTTCCCAAGGTGTATGTAGCTATCAGTTAAACAGGACGTTCACAGTTGGAAGTTACATAAACCTTTGAGCCAGCCAAACCTTGGTCCAAAATAATGTTTGAGACAAAACTTTGGACAATAAATGAGGGTAGTAAACAAACTATAGCAAGGAATTGGGGCTCAGGGTTCAGGTTTATTGTATAAAAATAATGAAGACCTACACTGTCAAGTCAGTGAGTCAACTTGAGGCGACTGTCATAAAATGCAGTTTTCCACATAAAAATCAATGTGTGGTATATTAGCTATTCTAGGAAATGTGTGTTTGTTTTTTTGGTCATAATTTGGGAGTAATTATCTGCCACAGATGAAGTTAATAAAATTTAGAGAAAATAAAACATACATACTTTTAGAACTAATAGTCACATCGAATTGAAATTGTTCATTCACCAAGACCCCCAAAGCCTAACTTCATTTGGAAAATACTCACACTTGATAGACACAACTGGAAAAAAAAAATACAAGAGTTCAAATCCTGAAGCATTTAATAGGAGGATCTTGACTTGCTCTGGTAGGTTGTATATTACAAACATCAGCTCCAATGTCTGCTCCCTACCAATTAACTATGTAGGGGAATTTATTGAAAAAGTACCTTGAAAATAGGGCAGATAGACAGAGGAGAGGATTTCTCATGCACTGAAATCCAGGATCATGGGACTGTCAACTCATAGCCCACTTCTTCTTCACTTCTTCATACCAGAGAAAGGTTTCTTAGATTGTTCCTGTAGGTTTCTATCAAGCACCAAAAGCACTGATAGTTTCACTGCTTTGGGGTGGTGCGTACTGAGTGAGGTGAGGCTGGACTGTTATCTGTCAAAGAATAACCTGGAGATGTGATCTGATGAAGGGAATCCTGGAGAAACACTCACATAACTATGGCTTACTTTTGTAGCTGAGATGCTCACAAAATGGCCCAGTGTAATAGCTCAAAATAGAATGACAACCACATTATTATTTTCCATTTTCCTTGTTTTTAATGCAACCTAAGTTTCATATCAAATAACAGCATTTACAATGGTTGACTCTTTGCCCATCTCCTGTCATAAAGTTCTGATTCTCTCTGGCCCAATTTTTCACTTCTCCCTCATTCCTTCTTCTTTCCCAGGATTGCTCTTACTGCTCTAAGAATAAGCTCTTCTGACTAAACTGTTTTACATACCATTTTAAAGAATGTATATCCCTCCTTAATTTCACAAGCAAGACTCAAGTTGAGATGCAAATGACACAGGAAGGTAGTTTTTCACTGTTTTGAGATGTCCAGGCATGAGACCAGAGGTGACTAAGACCAAAAAGCTTTTATTTGCTTTGATATTTATGAGTTCTTTTTACAGTTCTTTTTTAATTTAGAAAGAGAAGGGAGGGAATTATTGTGAGGTTGCGCCAAGTCACATTTTGTCATTTGAAAGTAAAGTTGTAAGAGTCACTTAGACCATTTTTTTCAGGGATGACTAATTGTTTCCTTCTTTCTGCTCCAGGCACGCCGACTCTCCTTAGCCAAGCGTCCCAGAGTCTGCAAAGAGTTAATCCAGGTCTACGGACAAGTAAGAATTTCTGCTCTTTGTCTGCCTTCAACAATTTTGTCCATGCTTTACTGTAATTCAAGTCATTATCTTTTAATGTATTTGGGGTATGGTAACTGGACAAATGGCTGAAACAACACTGATAAGCACAAAAAAAATTCCTTTTGTAACATCTATATGCCTACTTTTTTTTTTTCTTGACGTTGCTAATTTAGAAGTTAAATAAGGTCAAATTAATGAGAAGGGGGGAAAATTCATTGTGGTTCAACCATAGATTGAATTTAAGTGTCCTCTTCTTTCTCAAATCCTGTATCAAATTGTTATTGTTTATTTTGAGATTTCTTTACCTAGTAATCATATTAACAGATGGCTAAACATGTTCTTCATAATGCCTTATGATTCAAAATTCTGTTTCATGCAAACTTACAAACTATATCTTCTTAAAATGTCTTTGTGCACCCGCCTCTCACCCTCTTATCCCCAAGACTATCTCCTCTTATCCCCAAGTCTGAACTCAAATATCAGCTCTATTGGGAAGTTTCTCCAAATCCTCTTAGTCTAAGAATGTGTCCTGCCTCTCGGCTTCCTGGCAACTTTGTCCCTGGCTCCCTAATAGATAACTTGAACTTTTACTGTCTATGTTAGCATTGTACACAGAACTCTATGAATCGTGGAGGCTGCAGAAGTCAATTTGTTACATCAAACCTTAAAGTTCTTGTTTTATCTCTTTAAAAAAAAAAATCCTGATTACAGAGTAATCACTTAGCAATTAACTCCAGGGACGGATTTGATTTCATTAGAGGAATTGGGTGTTCTAGTCCACATCATACAATAAAGGCCAGGATAGACTGCTTTACTGAACTTAAACAGTTGCTCGTTCATTGGTAATTCTGGTATCATGAAACCATCATCTGGATTTTGACTAAGTTGCAGAGTAAATTTCTAATGTGAGATAAAAACATTAGTCCCTTGGAGGTGATTACAGTGAAAGTGGGTGTGTTAACAGACATCATCCTGCTATCGGGTATGCTAGACCACAGCCCTCCTGGTTTAGACATCCCTGATGTGCTAATTAACCCGAGGGTCTATAAGAGTGGCTATTTGGTTATGTTTGGGTTATTCCAAAGCCTTCACTCAGATGATGTGATTTGTCCTACCCAACTAGATGATAGATGGATAGGACTGCTTCCTTCCATGCAGAGGATGTCACACATACAGTGGAGGGACACACAATGATCAGAGTCCAGAGAAGCCATGAATGGGTTTGTCTTCCCACTACTCAATCATGTGGGACACTCTTGGTCTGGACCACTACCCAGGTGCCTGCTAAGCACCTAGGGAGCAGGGAACCCCAATTCTAACCCTGATGGGATTTCCATTATGAGCTAGTCATGTAAGCGAATTCTGGCTACATGGCCAGCCTTACCTATCAGCCCCTAGTTCTACTAAATTTAGGTGCAAGTAAGAAATCTAACTACACTACTGTATAACACGGACAGGCTGATATATCCTGCTGTGATATACCCTGATACAACTCATGGGCCCATAACTCTACTACCTCCTTAAGTCCACACACAATATTGCCAAGATCAGTAACTTGGAGAAAAGTGTGCATTAAATCATAGCAAGATTAACCCACGTGTTACATCACCTAGAGAATCACCTGTAGCTCTAATCTCCGCTTATGCAAAAGTCTCCGTGCCGTTTTTTAAGCCCTTCAGGGTTTGTTTTCTGTGTGATGAAAGAAAAGGCCTCATCTGTGAGAATGGGTATCTGTCAATGAGTGCATGCTAACAGGCCTTCCAGAGTAGATTCTTAAATAGTTTCTGGAAAT